TGGGAATTTTTAATTTACATATTTTATTCTCCTTAACCTTAAAGGATAAGAAGTCGGTGAAAAATTACTTTAATTTTTACGCAAAGTAAATAAAAGAAACGTAAATAAAAAGAAACTTATTTTATAAAAAAAATTAAAGTACTTTTTTACAATGTAATGATGGAATGAAATTTTTACAGTGTATGGTTTGTATATTTTTAAAACTATTCAGCATGTTTATAAAGATAAAAACACTGAAGTATTGAATAAATACAACACAAGGTGGAAATATCTTACTGTAAAAAGTCATCATCGGCCGAATCTTTCAAAAATGAAACCTTCGTATATCGACAATTTATTTATAAGAAGTTTGCCTGCCTAAACTAAAAAAAGATCAAAACAAACCCAATTTTTAAAGATATTAAAATAGTTCTTAATTAATCTGGCTCCTTATAGTATAGATGAGTTTCTAAATAAAAAATGAATGAGCTATACATTCTAAAATAATTGTAAAATTGTATGGTTAAGTCTTTTAGATTAAGTTGTATAACCAATTTTGTATGCGTTTACACTATTCATGTATGTAAAATGTATAAAGTGAATAAAGATAATTTGATTTGATTTGATTTGATTTGAACCGTTAGGCGTACAACCAGGCATATACTAAACTATTTAATCTTTTAAGCTCTAGAAAGTGGTTTGGAAAGGAAATTATGAAATTCTTTGTTTATGAGGTCAAAATGGGAAAACCCAATTTTCTCCCCATAAAAATCAACATAAACCCCTGTTCCCATAGTCCAATAATGCTGGTTCGCAAACTCGTTCGAATAAATTTTGGTTTACACGTTTGCACAAAATTACATCAAAATCGGATAATTTGTGCTCGAGTTATCACCCTAAACGGACACATATGTATATGAATTTGAAAGGATGGTGTTTTTGACTTCTGGGGACCTTAAAACAAAAATGTAAATTGGTCCCGGGTCTAGGTCTTACCATGAGACCTACGGTAATAGCTTATTCCCTATATGGGAAATTCACTAAAAACCTCGTTGTAACTTAGAATGTATTCCTTTGACTTGCTGAAGGATATAAAAACAGTATACATATGTACAAAACATATAAAACATATATACAAACTTTGTAGGGGCTACGCAAAGGTTAATAGATATTTACTTGAACTTTAAATCATAAAACATGGTTTAAACCCTGACTTAATGTCAATGTATTACAATGTATTATGGGTTTATGGAGACTTTTGTGGGGAGAAAATTGGTTTTTCCCATTTTTGACCCCATCAACAAAGAATTTCACAATTTCTTTCCAAACCACTTTCTAGAGCTTAAAAGATTTAGTAATTTAGTATATGCCTTGTTGTACGCCTAACGGTTAAGGAGATAATAAAAAAAAATGTAAATTTAAAATTCCCATGTTATTCTAATGGAAAATAAATAAACTGTTGTAGATAAATAAACTTGTTTGTGGATATATTCAAACCAAACTTGGTAATTTTGTTGATTTCATACTAAGCTATCAACATTTTAATAAAAAACACCCCCATTACATCCCTGTACAGCAAACCTAATTATTAATTAAAAATAATGTAATTTAAATAGTAAATAAATCTGACAGTTTCAAGGACAAATTTTAGTAGAAATCCTGAAAGATAAATAGAAATTCGCTTGGTCTGCAGGTTTGCTGTGGCGGGGGTATTTTTTATAATGGGGAAAATTGAATTTATTGTAAAAATAAACTCATTAAATTAATACTTGATGTTTAGATAATAGTTTTAATTTTTATGTTTAAATATTAAATAATTAATTTCGTGCACAAACATTTATTTTATTTCAGTCATATAGCACTCCAAATCTGTTAATAATGTAGTTATATCGACAAAATAGTGGTTCCATTCTATTTGGCATGTAGAAATCCATTGAAAACAACACCCAACAAGTCATAAGTCAAAAATCATAAATTATTTAAAATTCCCCCTACCCCTCCTAGAAAAAATAACAACTAAACATGTACCAATATGCTAAATCTCTTATAGAGGTGGTTCTAACGACCTAAATATGGTTCCTATCGATTCACCGTGTATACAAACCTTAAAAACGACTTCCTAAATGACTTCAAATCGTGAATAATGAATTATATCAAAATTCCCCCTCCCCACCCCCTAAAAACCATGTTCCCCCATCGGGACTGTTAGGGACTCATCGGATCTTGACTTCTATTGGTAAAACGAAGTTAAAACCAAAGTTTCATCCCTGAACTAATTTTTTTGTTTTTTTGGTGAATTTTAATCTATTTTGCCTGTACTAGATACAAACATTACAGTTTTGAAATAATGTAGGTAAATATAAAAAGTGTTACCCCCTTTCTGGGTCTTAAATCAAGTTAAGATTAGACATAAGCTATAATAAAATTGTTTTATGAAAAATTAGCTACATAGAATTAGTTATTTTAACTCAAACTGTATGGTGCATTCACATATTTGAATGATGGGTTACTGGATACATTCTCCTTTTATATACTGTACTATCTAGCATTCTCAATTGTTTTTGAGAATGTATAATGTGTTAACGTTTCTATGATTTGCATGTTTATTTTTTGTTTGTTGTACTTGCAAAATATTATTCCAATTTGGGGTGGGGGGGGGGGGAGACACTGCCAATTGTACACAATTCAAGAGATTATCATGGTCATGTATTGACACTAATTTTACTCTAGAAGAGCTAAACAATAATATTTTATATTGAAAAAATGTATCGCTTCGACATAAATTAATTAAACCATGTATAATATGTAGAATTTAACAACAATTTCAAAATCGCATTCCATAATTCTACAGATATGAAGTCTGACCGGGCTTTTGTTAAGTTAACCTGTTATTAGCTGTTTAGCTACATGATTTAGATTAAATATAACACCACAGAACTGACCGCATTAAACTTCGGTAGGCTGTTGGAAGTATTATTCTTTTTGCACGGCCTAAGACATTAATGTTAGCTACGTCCAGTTTAAGTAAAGCGCATTTAATTTGTTACATTTTAGTTTTTGGTGTTTTCACAATTGTTAAAGCTATTTAAACCAAATTCATCGTTCTATTTATAAACAATGAATTGTGGTTTTGTATTGTATCCAAATAGTAATGTAATAATATTGAAATATACTTTTAAAAGAAGACAACATATAGTAACCATTATTGTACTTACACATCACCAACCTAACACTAAAATACAATAAAACTCAGCTTCCAATTTTTGTAGTAGAATCAGAATTATACTTGCATTGTTAAAAAGCAATGGCTGTACTTTGTTTTAAAAGACCTCATTAAATTCTACCCAACTACATAAATCATAATTAGTTAAATACTTAGAAAGATCCTAAGTCGTACATATACCACTAATCCAATATTTAAGTAAGACATATCCATATATAATATTTTACTTAACAAAATGCTCATGTCATCTTTATTTAAAATTAAACCAATTTAATTTGCTTATTAGTCGCAATTAAAAACTATTTGTTGAAAACAATAAACTTGTGTACAAATTTTAATAAAGCATATTCAGCTTGAGGGAATAACTTTGATCTCCAACATAGACGTAATTCAGGGATGTCAATTGAAAATGTTGACTAATATTGTACCAGCACCGTGGTATGGTTCTATTAATATTGTTGTCAGTCAAAAACAAAAATATCTTTCATCAGAGAATAAATCAAACATACTTAGTGAGAAATAAAAATTAGAAAATTTTCTAAATGTCTTGGCAATAATATTCTCATAACATTAAAATGATTTTTCCTACAGTTACCTAACAATGTTCATGTTCTCTCACTGATTTGAGAAAGCAAAGTGGCCAATTCGCTCATCAGTGAGACAATGTTAACATTGTCTCACTCTAACTACTTAGTCTCACTCCAGATTTGCAACGTGAAGGCACGAAATAGTGAGCGCGTAACATGCAGGCAACGTAGTATGCGCGTGAAATACGTTGGCAGCACTGGCTGTAAATCAGCTGGTCAGCTGTTGTACTGTTGTATTTGTCACTTCACATTAAATGTTATATTAAAAGTTCACTTCTGTGTAAAAATAGGTTATGTTTCTTCACCAATTTATTTGTTTTATGGTAACTGTAGGAAAAATATAATGTGCAACTCGAGTTCAAAGTACAATTGCCTCACTCGAGAAACCATTCCTCACTCACCTACGGCTCGTGAGTAAGGATTTCTCTCGAGTGAGTCAATTGCTCACTTTTCTCACTAGTTGCACAAATAACTATATATACCGGTACTTAAAAGAATCCAATCGGCCTTCCGAATCCATTTCAGTCAAATTTGACATATTTGATTTTTACTTTCTCCCCATATACCATAGTACTTTATATGGAGAGAGAATTGTTTTCGTTGAAATTTTCGAGTTTTGAGTGGATATATCCGTTTTGGTAGTGGTCACAAAAAAGTGGTTTTTGAAGTGATGTCTGTGTGTGGGTCTGTATGTGTGGATGTGTACAGAGCTACAGACCGCGCCTGTGGTCCGATTTTGATGAAATTTGATATGTAGGTACTAATGTATGATACATCCAGGCTTTTTGTTTTATTTTTTTAATTTTTATTTTAATTGGGATTTCCCATTAAAACCCATAAATTAATAGAAAATTTGAATTTTATCGGAAAGACCCGAACAATTGATAAAAGCTTAGTATGTTTTGGCCCTTTAAATTTAAAAATAGGTATCACTAGTATGGCTGTAAAAAATACGTTTTAAAAGGTATAGTAAGTTGTGTTATTTTCCCACAAAAATCCCTTAAAATAATAGAAAATTGTATTTAAAAAAAACCCGGTTTTGATTAAAAAAAGTATGTTATGGTCCTTATAATTCTAGACAAAATAGTGCAACCACCCATTGCTGTAACCTATTCTTATAATGTTAACAACAGGTTTTATTAAAGTGAAAAAACCCATATTATGGGAAAGTTTGAAAAAATCTGATCTAAGACTGATATTGTTGGACTCACCCACGACTGCATGTCTGGAAGATGACAGTTGACTGACCGCCCCGGGCCGTGGACGGTACTTTTATACATCGTGGACGTCACCAAGGGCGCCGCTCACCACGGGTCATCCCTCACACTGACATCGCCAACAAGTCTAACATGATTGCAACCTTACCTGTCTAGACTGACGTCTATATCCGGGAACAGAACATATACAGTGAGTAACAAGGGCCCATGCATTCAATGAACAAAATTCCTGTAAAAAAAAAAATTATTTTTATGAAAAAAAATAATTCTGAAAAAAAAATGTTAGAACAAAAAAATGTTATTTCCACAAAAATCTTGTTGTGTTAACAAATGTGTTAAGGGTTGCAAGACTTGCTTGTTGAAATGGTCTAATGACAATACTCTGTGACAAGTGTTAAATCAATCAGCTGTTTTCTATTATAATGCATTGATTGTTTAACCTAATACACTAGTACCCTCTGGCGAGATGGTCCTGAACTTAATCTATTTTCTTGGCTCAAATGTTTATATTACAAGAGCTATTGATAAACTCATATACAGATTTATCGACTTGGTGGTTTAGCTGAAGAAACTTAGTTTTGCCTGGTTCATGTTTAGGGCGCTTTGTTGTTTACTATTTCTTGATTGTTAATATTTTACTTACAGTAATATATATCTAATTTATCCAAATATATGCAATCGCATGTATTCTGGTAATGTAACCGAAGAGTAAAGAACAAATCGTAGAATATACCCTAAAACTCGCCTCTGGCTCGCTGGGGGCAAAGCCCCTAGCTGTTAGTCGTCATTATAGAAAAATATAAACCTAAAAACATTCAAATTTGAGTGTGTACAACCTTTCTGAAATAAACAAGGAGAAGTGTATTTTACAAAATCTAAGACATTACAAATTTATATTATACGAGGTGTTAGCCCGTCCTACGTACGGGAATTCAGTAGTCAGTTAAAACCGTGTACAATTCAGATCGGCTAGTTTACATATATAAAGACAAAGTTTCTTGCAGTTTTAATGTGAAAAATCATCTTTTAAACAAATTTTGTGTGACCAAATATATTTTATTCCATCATAGGCCTATACGATATGCATTTTAAATCCGATAATTTTACAATAAAACAGCAATTCTGCAATTTTTACTATGTGAAAAGCGTTGAAGTGATATTTGCAGCCGATTCGCACAGACGCACACTGATTATAAATAGCCTACAGTATAGAGAGTAATAGTCAATTGAGAAGTGTGTAGACTTAGTCAAGGCTGCACTTTACTTTAGGTCCTACACTCGTTCGAATGAAAACATCGATCGATATGTGCCTATCGATTAATCAATTTTTTCATTCGATAGCATCGTTTGGTTACTTAGGTAAGGTTAACCTAACCTAACTAACCAAACGATATATCGAATAATCAATATTTTCATTCGAATTAGTGTAGGACCTAAAGTAAAGTGCAGCCCTAGTCAACGATACCACCTTCCATAGCATACCTGCCTCTTCCATAATTATTATCACCACAATACAACTACTATACACAATTTCCAGTAGGTCTGAATAGAAACAACCTAAAATAAAACGATAATATTTAATACAATTCACAGTACACATAATTTAACTTTAGTGTCCTAACATAAAAACTAATCGTCACACGTATCCTTTATATCAATTCAATTTCACAGCATTAATTGCTAAATAAATAAGCGTAAACAAAGAAAAGTAAAAACAATAACAATTTGTTTTGAAACAGCTGTTTGGTTCAAATGACATTCATTTGAAAAAAAGAACTGGTCACATGTAGCAGGAATATAAATACCCCCGCCGCAGCAAACCTGCAGACTTAGCGAATTTCCATCTGCCTGATTGGATTTAAACTAAAATTTCTCCTTAAAAATATCACATTTATTCCCTATTTTATAACAGAATTAGTTTAATGAGTACTTAGGTTTGCTGCAACAGGGAGGGTAAAAAAGTGTTTTTAATGTAAAATATTAAAGGTACTGTGGTTTAGTAAGAAATTAATGTATTTTCCAAATTTGATCAAAATATGTTCATAAACAAGCAAACTACAACAGTTGACTTATTCTCCATAAGAATAACATGGGAATTTTAAAATTACAATTTTTTTAAATTTTCTCCGTAACAATTAGGCGCATAATAACGCTTCAATATACTAAATTATTTGTTTTTTAAGCTCTACAAAATGGTTTAAAAATAAATTGTGAAATTTTGTGTTTTTAGGGTCAAAAATGGGAAAAACCTATTTTTACCCCATAAAACCCCCCATAAACCCCCGTTCCCATAGTCCGATCATGCTGGTTCGCGAACTCATTCAAGTTTATCCCGCCTTACACCTTCAAACCAAATTTTATCAAAATCGGTCAAAAATTACTCAAGTTATCGTGCGGATGGACACACACATATATATATATATATATATATATATAGATATATAAAAATTTGAACGAATGGTGTTTTTGGCCTCTGGGGACATCAAAATGAAAAAGTAAATCAGTCCCGGGCTTAGGTCTTACCATGAGACCTACGGTAATAGCTACTTCCCTATAGGGAAATTCGCTAAAAGTAAACACGCTAGTAAAGCTAATGACGTAATTGTCAATGTTTATTATCCATACCGCTATCAGTTCTATCATTGATAATTACCCACCCTCATTGAATAAATGTACATCGTAATTTCCCATATTAGTTAATTTAAACTACAATATATTCATAGTTGAAATAAAAGTGATATTTTCACGTTTGGGGGCGCTGATATAGGCGCTCCCAAACGTAACCACAACTGAACACGATTTCATAAAAGGATGGTTTGTCTAATTGCAGTATCCTAGGTCAATGTTGACGTTGTGTTCAATCTATGTCATCCATCTGTTTATCTTTGTATAAAACCCGGCTGAGGTTGTGGTGGCAATTTAAAATCGTGATTCCTGATTATTCTTGATCTTCTTTTTATGACATCAATATTTCCGGGCCTAATCCAAACAAAGTTAAAGCAGACAAACATTAATTGTAAACAAAAAGCTACCATGAAGAATTAAAACATCTAAACATTGTTATTTTTCTAATCTTTCCTTGAAAAGTGTAGCAGTAAAATAATTTGCATTTATCCTTTTTTATTAAGACTCGTGTACAGAGCCTCGATTTGTACTGTGGTTGAAATAATTTTGGTTAAAAATGTGGTTTAAACTGTGTAGTAGTATAATTATCACTACTAATCTTACTTATTTCCTATAATCAATGACAAAATAAGAGTAAATAAAATAACCTCGTAGTTCCATAGTTTATATTTAACCAGCTGTTGGTTAAACAAATTATATTGCTCTAAAAAAATCGAACATTACAAAGATTGCTTTAAAAAATAATTTGAACATCCTAGTATTTTACTATGTACTGTATATTTAATTAATCCGTCATCCTCTTACATAAGAATTGAACGTTTCAATGATTAGCATTACACATAGTATAAATAAGTCAACCCTAAGTATGTCTTTACATTTTTATCCAAATGCTGAATTTGTGACACAAAAGCTGAATGTTTACAGCTGTTATGTTAAGCAAATTATTTTATGCCAAAAGCTAGTTTAGAATCTTTGCGTCGGCTGCTAGACTTTTTCAAAATTAAAACTTAATTTCTAAAAAACTGGGGCCCTAAACTAAAATTATGGCTTCGACATTCCCTAGTTCTCAAAATTGTCTTTCTTTCAACACAAAAATCATGAAAATCCGTCGAGTGGTTGGTTCAGAATCGTGAAATAAAAAAACACTGTTTCGTTTTAATATTATAGATTATTTTTTAAACTCATATGCGAATAGGGATGGGTAGGGACGTTGTATAAGGCATCGATTAATTCAAACCATTATTTTAAAGTTACTAGGCTACTAGCCATATAAATATTTCGTTTCCACTCATGAGTTGCTTAGCAACAAAATAGTCCTAAGACTAAATGAATTGAAATATATAAAATTTCAGAAACACATTGCAAACATTTTCTTATGCGAACTGACCTTTTTTATGAAAACCTTTTTTTCTTGTTGAATTCCCTTAACATATAGGCTCAATTATATAAAAATAGTAAATAGAAAGGGACTCTAGTCAACACATATTGAGATAAAACCCACTCCATAAAATTCATTGAACTTTCACTTCGGTAGAATGCGTCTTTAGACCCAATCATTATCCCTACATGAATTATGAAGATTTTTTTTAAATCGTGGAATGAATTCATTATTTTGTTTTCATGGAAACAATGAGGTTAAGTTGTTGCTTACGTTTATAAAATTCTAATAGGCCTAAATGAACAGCCTATTGAAAAAATACATTATTGTTTAAGCTAATCTTGTATCACTGTCAATGATTAAACCATTAAACATTAAACAATGGATTTAGATATCTTTTTTACTTTGGCTTAAAGGTACTTTATACTCTAAATTCTGTTATGAATTGGCTCTCTATTCATAACCGTCCACATGTTTTAATCATAAGTCAACCTTCTAGCAAGTTATAAATGTTTACATGCATATGTATAACATATCTGCAAAATTACTTTTTACATTTTATGTATTCCAAATCCCCTGTCCTTTCCCGAAGCTCATTATAAGACCCCGAACGAATGTATAATCCCTGCTATTGTTACAGGCGGCTTATTAGCCTTTGTACAGTTGATCTGAGATGAGGACACCCTGTTAAACCCTTCCTCACGACTCCGTTGAGCAACAGTTACTAAACTGACCGCTAGCGCTAGCCTAGTTTGTGTTTCCGGGCCCAACGTCGTGTTTGCGAAGAAAAAAGCGAAATTGTGTAAAACCACGCAATGTAGCCATGTTCGGGTTTGGCAACGATAGTGTCTTCGTCACGTAGATGTTCAGAGGAAGGTCAATGTTGAATAGGGAGTGTTAAAATCTCGTAACAAAAATATTTATACAAAACTAATACAGGCTATTTAGCTCTTCTGAACAATTCCTTGGTGCAATTATTGACGTATTTTGCTAATAATGTAGCATAATAAGGTAGCACAATACATACGGACGAATGACTATAGTTTTGTAATGTGTGAAACTCGTTTTGAGCGCTAAGGAAGTTTTTATGGGAGAATAAGAGTTTGACTTGGTCATAAGGCTCAAGAACGGAAATGGATACTTTTTATTTCATGACTGTCATTTTTGAAGTAATTAGGTAAGATTCTCAGTGATAAATACATGAGGATAGTAAAGAACAAATACAACAAAATACCAGTATTTAAAAATGACAATAATTTTAATAAACCAAGTCCCGTAGTAAGAAAAATATGAAAAATTGAAAAAGGATTAACAGAAAGTAAGATATTCAACCCCACCAGTAACTACGATTGCTCATTTTATGAACCATGAGGTGGCCAACTATTGTTTACTTAGTTTTTTAATGATATTTAAATAAACCGTATTTATTTTATGTAATGGACGAACGCCATGTCGAAACATTTTCCATAACAATTGTTAGGCCAGCTGAGTACAGTGTAGTCACAGGGCTCACCTTCAAAAATGTAGGCCGCTAGTTCAATTCCATGGGATTACGATAATGAAGCTATGTTACAAAGAGTATATAGTAATCAGGGTTTTTGACGTTCCCTGAATAATATTGCAAATGGCGTAGAATGGGAGTATAAAAAATTAAAGCTATAACTTGACATCATTTAACATTTTAATTTAATTTAAAAACAATTTATAACTTTAAAAATGAAGTTTATTCTCTATTGTAAAATACAAGAATAGAATTCTAAAAGAAATCTTATAAACGTCAATTTAATCCAGTCCAGAAGAAAAGATTTAAGGTTTCTTCAGAAAAGAAAAGTCCCTGAAACAGTATTTTTGGAACTACGTTGTTTCTGGTCTATAAATAAAACTAGGTTGTAAAAAATACCCTGTAAATACCCTCAACTGATTCCACCATTCAGTTGGGATCGATCACTTAAAATACGGTATTTAAAGGCTTAAAAACTAACGTTATAAATATAGGTTTTATATTTTATATACTTTCCAATAGAATAGTGAATCCACTAATATACATATCCTTTGATAAACGCATTCCGTAGGTTTTCCTTTGCAAGAAATGTATTAACTTGAATCTGTTCCTAATTGTTACTGCCACGGATTCAAGAGTGTCTACTTTTTAGTCGGTGGGTAACTAAAGCATAACTGATAGAGTTGGTAACCACGCAGAAAGCTTTGAATACAATGACGTGGTAGCATACTACAAGGACAACGTAGAACACGACTGTAGTGATTAAGCCGACAGGGGACAAGGGATTCTTTAGCGGAGTTTGGGACCGCATTTAACAGCAACAATGGAACAGCTTAGGAGACTATCTTTGATAAATGTATAAATAGGATACAATTCGAGAATGTATGATGAAGCGAAGCTAACAGTCTTAAACCTAGACTGGGACGGGTGGCGTCGTCCTGTCCAGCTTCTAGGAGGTCACGCATTGTGGATCTTTATATGCATACACTGTGGCTGCGATACTCCCTGGTGTGGATTAACGTCCGCACGAGAGAGTAATACGACTTCCCGCAGTACTATCCTGATAATTAGACCAATTCGTATTTACCAAGGAAAAAATGGGGTTCGGATTCCACTATAAACTGTAGGTCCCTTAGTTGCCATTAGCTGTATGGGCTATTAATTAACAGCTGTGTCTAAGGAATGTCGGCCTTAGTCACTAACAAGACTACAAGATCGCGCCACTCATCTCCATTCATACTTGGCTTAAAATACCTACTATGTATGGTCGCCATTTCATTGAACAGTATACACAGAAATATATCAACTACTCATCATCATACTCACTTATTCATAAAACCTTTAAGTAGTTCCCACTACAAAGTGATTCAAAAGTATGTCACAGCGCTGATTGCCAGAACGATTCAACAACTACCAATCTGAAGTTGTCAATTTCCTCATAGAAACTGTTAATTATTACCTGAGCGAATGAATGTGACGGCGAGAATGTCAGTGAGGAGAACAATGCTGAAGGTATGTCAGAACCGCTCTGTGACGCGACCTGTCACTGTTACTCTGATGTAACTTTTCTTGCTAATAACGGTGACCAATGTGGAACAGATCTTTCAATGTCATCCTGTGTTAGGTGTCCAAAGTGATTTATTCATAATAGTGGTTGCCTCACTTCCCAATCGGTCAACTATATATTTTTGCTCGAGTTTACGCTAGTAGCCTTTTAAAATTTAAATTACTTCAAACACTTAAAAGGGAAAGCGTTCCAAGCCCATTTAAGTTTTGTGGATGAGCCGGGAATTGAACCCGTCCTTCCCGCATCAAAGTCCGAAACGCTGGTAACTAATAAGTTAGCAACACACCCAATTTGCTCGATACATGTTCAAAAATATATAGTTATCCATGGTTCTCATATATTTTCTTGATCCTATATATGTATGTTATAAATCTTAATATTTTTCTCCAAATTAAAGTATTACTGTTTAATATTTGTTGAAATCCAGTAATCTCTAATCGTAAATGAGCACAGCAAAAAGAAGATGACACGGTATAGCTAAATATTTTCTTTATCAGTCGTGAACAGCTCAACTTGCATCTTGGTCTATTCTAGGCTCTTTTAGGGCACCACACCATGTAAACAACACTAGCCTATGCTGGTATCTGAACGGGTTGAGATGGAAAATTCCTCCAAAAAAGAAATTGTATTTAGCACATTTTCCATTTCTTTGATCCGTATTCCTCTGATGGTGATAGGATTATAGACATTCAAGTTTATTCCCACTGACATTTGAATCCAGGTTAAAAACATCTCGTTGAATAACTGCAATAAATAAATAATTTATTCACAAACAAACATTTGTACAACACGAGATAAATGTCGTTCAACAACAGAATTCACCGCTTAGTGAATGTAAGTCTTGAGGGCAGAAGCGTAGCCGTAGGGGGCAGCGTAGCTGACAGCGGGCGCGTGGTAGGCAGCTGCGTAGCTGGGAGCGTAGCTGACAGACGGTGCATGGTATGCAGCAGCGTAGCTAGGGGCGTAGCTAACGGCAGGGGCATGGTAGGCTGCGGCGTAACTGGGAGCGTAGCTAACAGCTGGAGCGGCGTATGAGACTACGGGGGCAGCTTTGACTACAGGTGCGGCGTAGCTTACAGCAGGCGCAGCGTAGGAAACGACCGGAGCTGCCTTGACTACAGGGGCGGCGACTACGGGTGCGTGGTAGGCTGCAGTGTAAGCAGGGGCGTAGCTAGAAGAAACTCGGTAGGAGTTGGAATAGGAGGTGGCGGCAGGAGCGTAACTTACAACAGGGGCAGCTTTGACTACCGGGGCGGCATAGGACACAACTGGCGCGGCTTTGACCACTGGGGCGGCGTAGCTTACTGCGGGTGCAGCGTAGCTTACTGCAGGTGCGGCGTAGCTCACAGCAGGGGCAGCATAGGAGACTACAGGTGCAGCTTTGACTACTGGGGCGGCGTAGCTCACTGCAGGGGCATGGTAGCTGACGGCTGGGGCAGCGTAGCTCACGGCAGGAGCGGCCACTACGGGGGCGGGGGCGTAGGAGAGAGCGCCGTAAGAGCCGACGTATCCGGCGGATACCGCGGACAGCAGCAGAGGGAGGACAGTCTGAAAAAAGATATTTAGTAAATACAAAAGTTTACTCAAAACATTTTACTACACTTAAAACAAATCTAGCAACGTTGCATTGCATTAAAAAAATCATATGGGAACATGACCCCACAGTTCCTGTGATTACCAGTTGCGACTCAGTGTATTTTAATCAAAATATGAGGTAAGGTTGAGTGAATAATGGAGTGATATGCTTTGCTAAGACCAGCTGTTTCTGTAGACAAGACCATTTGCCATTTTATTAAAGGCCTTATGATAAAGGACATTAGGGTCCAGTTTCATCAAAAACTCTTGAAATTTCTCGGGATCTAACTGTCAACTTTGTCACTGGAAGACTCGCATAATAAGCACTATAGCAGAGGAATCCACTATTCCTCAACAATAGACTTCTCATACGTATCAGAATTTAAAAGCTTTTTGAATACTGCATGACACGCAAATTTTAAAAATTGGGTATCTACGGTTTGATTTTTACATTTTGGATTATAGACTCCATACTCTTTTCATAATACTTTATAATGGAAACTTGTTGTGATAAAGTGCCTATAAAAAATAACGACAAATGGTATCAGGAATAAACATTATTCATCATTCCTATAAAATATTCTTACGAACAATAAGAAACTCTGTTTAAACTATAGTTTAACACTTTCAGTAGTAATTAAAGTAATAAAGTAGTTTAGAGTTATCATCTTGTAAGTAATCTTTAGTAGCATCCAAACCACTTTCAAGTAAAAGGTTCATGACTTTTTTAATAAGTTCTGCTTATTATATATCACACCAGTTAGTTGTTAGATTATATGATTATGGACTGAAAATGATATGACATACTTATTGTGTAATGTTTGTCATATAAACACTATTATTCATGTATCATATTCAATGTAGGGCATAAAATAATCCCTCCCTTATAATGTAGCCAGTAGTATTTAGAATTTGATAATATTTATATTGTATCTTTAAGTAAGTAAATATTCTAGTTATGACTTAAGGTCAAAGTAAACATTACTATAACAGCACTTATCAATGATAAATTACAGGTAAATTAAGGGATATCTTTTTTAATACAGTGATTATAACATTAGTTTTCTATTTTGGTCAACCAACAAGTATAACCGAAAATTCTTAAAATTATTTAACATCGAATAGAGATAGATTTCCTTGAAAGTTCCAAATTATTATAGACAGCTACCAAGAAGACGATGTCAATTTAAAGTTTGAATTAAAAGTTCGAACATAATTGTTATAAAATCTTCCTCAGTACATTGAACAATAGGCTTTGACCTGCTCTTTGCTGTGATCGTTATAGAAGTATGACTATCACATAGCCCTCTATCTAACATTTAACATCTAACATTGGGATACTTGAAACCTAAAACATATTTATTTATCTGTATGCCTACGTTAGCATGATAGTGATAGCACCGTTGTTATATTTATTAAAAATTTTGTAAGATCTTTTGATGCAGTATGATAAGTTACTAAACTTGATCCTCCAAACCAAGCTAGGAAATTCCTTGCAGTTGCGAAAAAGCCACGGTTAAACAATAATACGGAAAATTTCTAAAAATAAATCAACTGTTCTGCTAATGCTGAACCAGACGCTAATGCAAGATGAACTGTTACGCCTTAAAATAGATACGTTTTAAGAGATTGAAAAATATGATTATATTCACACATTATGACACTTCTAACACACTTCTAACGGCGATAAACCACAACAAAAAAACTCTCTTTCCTAAAACAAAAACCCATACAAAGCATAAAAAAATCACAAACGCCGGAGAACCTATAGTAGAGTACTCACCAGTAAGAGCATGGTGACAGATGTCATGTGGTAGATCCAGGAAGGTATATATAGTGTCCACCAGGGACGTACCTTATACAGAGGTGGTCCACGACACAGAGACCTTGCTAGGGTATGTGGAGCACGGCCTAGCGCGGTGGCATCTTCCCAACGCCCTAACTGGGATATCGGCGGAGTTTCGTCAGATAAAAAAATAGTTGATTGCTGTAATAGTGTGTTAAAGTCTCGAATAGTTACTTCTATCGGGAAAGAAGTTAGAAATACTTTTATTTTTTGTTTGGGTGGAGTTTTTGCTAGGTGCTTTTTGTCGGGGGGTTTAAAAAGAACTGTCTAAACGCTGGGTTTTTATAGCATCGATTAATTTTATGTATTGAGCCCAGTGACAAATTAAAATTTGGCTCGAGCTTGAAGGCAATAAAACTCTGTAATTTGAAGTTCGTTATAAATATCATTGATTTCCCATGTTTAAACCAGCTGCATCTTGCTCTACCCAACATTCACTCTTAGAAAATCTATTCAAAATCATCACTGTTTACATTGCACATTGTTAAATTTACACTGCCAACGAACCTTCTGCAGGCAAAGTTTGACCATCAACCACCAGGAACTCTTTGGCAAACGACATGCAAAGCAAATTCAGATTATCAGAGTAGGTACGCTATTATACAACTGAGGTGACAACTACTAGCGTTGCACAACAGTGTACAGAGTTTATCATAATTGACAGGATTATGACACGGTGATCTTTCAATCCCACGTATGTAGCGCAGTTGGAAAAACCTGTAATTACAAACGCGGAGTTGGAGTACTTTGGCTAGAGGCAACTTTTTGACCTTGAAAATGTGCGTAGAAGATAACCTTACTGGTTATTTAAAAAATTATCATGAATTTAGTAACGCAAACACAAGTTCCATTATCATTTCTTTAAAATAATGCCACTATCTTAGCCATAAGTGATTCAAGCATAGTTGCATCATTTTAGTCATCGTTCCAATTGCATTTTGTTTGACAAACTGGTCCAAGTCAAACTTGGTAGTCAAACTTTATATATAATTTACTTACAACTGTAGGTCAGTGCACCTTTCTAGTGCTAAACAAAGATAATCAATTAGACTTCTAATAATTCAGCTATAGAAGTAATTTACTTGACAAAGAATTGCGCAAACTTTATGGGATGAAACTTTATTTTCAATGAGAATCCACTATTTTACCGTAGCATTTTAAGTCCCTGTGGCTTCTTATTCCTTTAGTAATGTCGAAAATTTAATTTTATCCTCTTTTTTTCTCTTAAAAGTCTTTTCTTAGAAACATATGTGCATTGTAATATTGAATTCTTCCCTATATAGTTTGAAAACATATGTTGTATTTAAAAGGTAAATAAACCAGTCTTGTTCTCTTGTAAGCATGATAAAAGTGTGATTTTCTCTATCTCTTTCTCTCTCACTCATGTTATTTAAATTTTAAACATATTTATTACTCAACATTATCCCTCTGGTCCTTCTTATTACTCTTTATCATTTTATTCTCTCATATATCAATCATTAACAACTTTATTTTATTAAAAAAAAAAAATTTTACTTCCATAAAAATGCTTCCCCTGCAACCATCTAAGGATGGTCACATTCGTCAAGTTTCCGAGAATGTTTACAGTTATTTTGTAAGGTGTCCTTATTACACTTAATAGTAAAAAGTCTTTTAAACGGAAATTAATTAGTTCTAGAACTAAGCAGGAATGTACTTAATGTCTACTCTTGAATAAAATCTGTGAGATTTGGTATATATCTTATATTTGCTCGAATGAGTTTGTATTGATTGCTATACACGATCTATAGTAAGTAGATTAAAGTACATTAAAGTTCTTCTATTAATGTTTATCTCGAGTTCCTTAAAACACAAATAATTAGTCCATTCCGTTGTACAAACACAATAACCAGAGTGTCTTGGATATTTGTACCCGCCAAGCCATACAGGGTAAATAAATACAAGTATCTTGCGGTGAAAATTTATTTAAAATTGAGACGGGAAAACAACATAAGTCTAAGTTTCTTAAAGGGAAAATTAAGAAAAAATTATATATTTTTTATCAGCTGGAATATATTTTAAATGACTCACATATCAAAAGTATATATTATGCTTACGTATAATTTCAGTTACAATATGGTTTAATTGCACGTGGAGGTATTTTTCAATCAATATTTGGTTCATTATTCTTAGTAGAAAAATGGCATTCAAAGCAATGTCTTAAAAGAAAAATCATCTCCCACCGATATATTGTTTAAAGAATCCGGGTTTTTATTAATTAGACAACTATACATACAAACTTATGAACATTCACTTAACTAAATTCAGATTTAACAATTACACCAACCATACATGGATATTTTATGACACGTAGAGCAGTAGAGACAGTGCTTTACAGAGACAATGAAAAACAATCCGCAGTACCTACAGGAATATTGCAGGCATTGCGCTGACTGTAGGCACTCCAATGGATGGATTTACGAGGCTAATATAGATTTAAAATAATGTCTAGCATCATTTATCCCAAAAAATTAAAATCATTAAGTAAAAGTATGTTAACACTCGATGACCTCTTATACTTTAATACTATTACAATTGTGCAAGAAAAAATACTGTTGCTCAGGACAGCTTATAAAGATTTGTTCCAAAAAGTTTTAAGGTTTTTCCTATTTAAATGCTTGGATAATTTAATATTTTTAGTAAATTATTTCATGTCTTAAAATTATTTTTGTTATTGTTTAAAATTTGGTTTTTGATTTTTTCCAGGAAGTATCCTGTGTAAACAGTATCCTTATTATTACTATTTTATTATTGATTTTCTATAACTAGATACTATGGTTGTTGACTCAGGAAAAGAGAAAATCGATTGCATTTTTACGTTAATCAACTTTTTGATGTTATAATTTTCTTCTAAATAAAAAATTACGGCGAATCTATGAAGTTAAATCAATTCATTTAACATAATTTTTTTTTTCAAATTTTCTTTGTCTGAAAGCAGTTGGGTTAACGGTGAAACATACATACCCCTTACCAGTGTTATATATTACATAGTATTATCACTGTAAAATATTATATATAATCACTGTTATATATTGGGTGTTATCAGTGATAACAGTGATATATTCGACTGTAACTAACGCAATCTTAATCCAAGCCTTCATTTTTTCAAAGTAAAATATGTTAAGTAAATTGTTTGGTTAAGATTATAAAAATGCAGAGGCCTTTGTCTGAGCTTATTTATGAACAATGGAATCACTCGCTTTTGGAATCAAATAACAATTTGAAGTTGTTATTCTTGGGTTTTCAGTTTCACTTGACCTATTTCCCCTCCAAAAACCTCCACCAATGAGAAGGTTTATTTTACCTCCAATAAAAAAAAAAAACAACTTTCCTTGCATACTCTGCCATATGTTCACAGTCATCTCGTAAAACATAATAAAGTTAATAAAATCTAACTACGGTAAACTATGGTTTCAATTTACATTGCTTCTAAGGGTGAAACTAAATAAGAATCTAAATTGTTTTCCTGTATCCCTTGCGATATATCACGAATACATAATTAAGTTTCTTTGTGAATTTTATTTTATTCTTATCATTTATCCATTTATCGAGTCGAAAAACAATTTAGTATTCAAGTTTACCAAGATTACCAACAAGGCTTATATATTGATAATTATGGATTTGCAGTGAAAGAAATGCACTGAGGCCAACAAAGTTCGTTGCACCTCCACCTTTGCTCCGATGCTTTCTAGATCACGCACTACAGCTACAATTCCTCAGCATGTCTTCAGCACTTTGGGTACATCTGCATTTCTAGCTGGTAGCTGTTAACAAACTTAACCCTCTTAGAGAAAACCTGGTTACACTAGGTTTGTAGACAAGTCCTTCCAATTGCCCCTGGCACAATTGGTAGTATATTTCTTGTGTACCACAATTAATTTTAAGACTCAATTTTCACAACGACGTACAATTTTGTGTATTTTAAGGTTGAAATGGGTGGACGATGAAAGTTGATTCGTAAGAACATAGCGTTGTTACCTATTAAAATGAGCTGGTTATATAGCTAAGGGAATTTAGTAAATGCACAATAACCAATTAAGTATAGCTGGGTTCATTTTGAACCATTAATAAGGCTCTGATATTTTTTGGGATACAACCGGCGACTTTGTCAATGTTATATATGCACTGTCCTCAGCTAAAACCACGACTGCTACTAAACCGTATTATATTGACATGGTAACGTGCAAACAATCTTGATGACTTTTTTTATCTTGGCCATAAAGATAAAAGAAAGAGTACTGCTGGTGTGCAGCTGAAATGAAAATAGGCAAAGTAAGGGTCATATCGGGCAGCCATTCTGATAACCTACTAGCAGTATGACTACTCAGTATGGGACAACGTACAATATCAGATTCACGTAACAATCGAAGTGATATAGGCCTATAGGTTCACAACACAATCTAAGTGATAGTGGAATAGGGTTTAGCCCTTCGCAAACACGTAACTATATCTTACCACAGTGCTTACATCCTGCAGAGACTATTACATTCTCAGGGTTTGGAACAGCCTGTGTTAACGAACGCAGGAAATCATACTCCTTTCCTTTACTATCGCAACCCATCGATAAATCTATCACAGAAAGACTATTTAAAACACCAACGCAAAACGTTGCCAGGATTTAATAATCGTGAAGAGCAGTTCCACCGGTTTAGATGTTTGACCTACCTTACATCACACGTCGTTGGATGTTGAAAGTGGTTCTTAAGTCTAGAGGATGATGCATTGTATGTTACTCAAAGTGAATGATGAATTGTATCTAAAAATATAAATTGTGTTAAGAATCAGTTTTATTTGATTGTGCCCTTGTCTTGCGCACGCAAACAACGACATTCGTCATTTGGACAGAATGTCACCCAACAAGAGAATGCAAAGTATCGATGATTACTGCAAACAAATAGCACACGAAGCAATAAAATAAACATGTAATTAGTAAAATTTTCA